ACAAGCAGCATGCAGGCTAGGCTGGGCCCAGCGCCTCACTGCCCCACACTGGGCTGGCTAGCTGTCCCTCACACACAGGTCCCCAGAAAGGCCGTGTGACCTGAGCTGGGAGGCTGGGACTGGATGCTCGGGGAGCACTGAGAGGCGGAGCTGCCTGCTGTAGTCAGGGGGCAGGGGATGGCCGCATAGCTGGAGAGGGTTCGGGCCAGGAGGTCAAACCTGGGCTGAGACTGGGGGGACACGCAGGGCAGGTGGATGTGAGTTCTGTCCTAAATGGCCCTGTGGTCGCTGGGCTAACAGACCATGGGCCAAAGGTGGGATGCCACTGACAGCCACAGTGACGTGGGGCAGGGCTCGTGAGAGCTGCTCAGACTCCAGACAGACTAGAAGGTGGAGCTCGTGGGGTGGCCCATGGGTCAGGTGCCATGGCTCAGAAGAGGGGGTGGTGGGGACGGGCAGGAGAGGGGGTCTGCGCTGGCCCCTGCTCAGCGTTTTTGTGTACCTGGACATGGCATGCCGTGAACTCCGGCTTTGGTTGGGGTATGGAGGGCTTCTTCTGCCTCTCAGCAGCCACCTGTCCTCTGAGGGCCCTCCCTGCCTCCACCCCACCACGCTCTGTTTCCATCTCGGGAACTGCGCATCCTCTGTGATCTGCTCACCACCTGATTGGTGAGAGCCAGCCCTGAGTGACTGAAACCCTCACGGCTGGGACACCCAGTGCCTCGTTACTGCTCATTTGGTCGCTCTGTCCTTCTATGCAGCAGGTAGGCATGATTATTCTCATCGTGTAGATGAGGAGACAGAGGCTCAGAGAGGCTTACTAACTTGCCTAAGGTCACACAGCTAGAAAGTGGTAAACCTGGGGTCCACACCTGGGACTCTGTTTGCAGAGGTTATGGGCTGACTTCTCTAATTGTTTTCCCTAGAATAGCTCCACTCCCTCCCACCCGCCCCCCATCTTAGGGAGGACCCTCTGGGCTTGTCCACCTGTAATAGGGAGAGTATGCTATGGCAGAGTGGAGGGGAGGTGGGCCAGGGTTAGACTCACTCCTTCAGCAGG